TGTCTGTGTGCGGTGGTGGGTAGGTCTAATGTCTATCTGATGTCTGTCTCCTGCAGGATCCTTTGTGATTCAGCCAATGCTATCCTACATCCATAAGGGAAGAAAGAAGGGCTGAGGACATTTGGAGGAATCCCAGGAAATCTAGTTCTTAGAGATTCCCCCAGAGACAAGCTCATTTCTGGGCTGGGTGGTGAGATTGGATAAAAAGTCAGGATTCCCTTGGGAACTGGTGGTTTCTTTGAGCAGTTCCCCCACTTAACCCCAGAATGTTGTGCGTGCATGCTAAGTCGCTTCAGTTGTGTCTGACTGTCTGTGAGCCTATGGACTGTAGCTTGCCAGGCTACTCTGTCTATGGGATTCTCCAGGCAAGAATACTGGAGTGGGTTGTTGTGCCAGGGGATCTTCCCGACCCAGAGATTGAATCTGTGTCTCTTATGTCTTCTGCGTTGGCAGGTGGGATTTTTACTACTTGTATACAGTGTAATTAGCAAGTTGGTAGATTCTACTGAGTAGTCATTTGTTCCTATAATGAGGCATTTTGGGGAATTTCTCTACTGATTGCCAGCCAAAAGTTCTATTTTGTATAATTATTGAGACACAGAAGGGGTTTGTACAGTGGTTAAGAACATGATCTTAGAGTCTGACAGTTCTGGATTTAAATCCCAGCTCCATCTCCATTCAGCCATTGGAAATTTACTTAACTTTTCACACCCTCATTTTTGCCATCTGCAAATCGAGAATAATACTCTGTACCTCATAGAGTCATTTAAACAGTTTAAGTATAGTGCCAAGCAGACAATAATAGTAGGTAATTACTATTATTAGCTCCTGTAACTGTCGCCATTTGTATTTCAAAATACTACTCTATTTTAAATATGTATATTTGTTTACATTTCCCCCATAGTCTGTAAAAGGTTTCATTAATAGCATCCCAATTAGGAAAGCGCTGCTCTAGTTTACAGACAAACCGCCAAGGAATCATACATGATTTACCCTGAATCACTGAATTTTATAGCTCTTCAGATCCAACGATTCTGTTGGTAGTATCCTCATTTCGATAATCCAGCCTCAAAGAATTCCACGCAGTTAGTAAGGCAAGTTATTCCCTTCCGGAAACCACACGGGTCCCTCTAAACTGAGTTTCTGCTCTTCCTCTGTTTGATTTCTTAAAATAGTTTCTGAAGATTTTAACCACAACTGAATCAAAACTAACCAGCCTGTAATTTCCTGGTATGTCCCTATGGCCTTTCTTTTAAAACAAAACACACATACAAAATGGCATTACATTGGCTGGTTTCCAGTGTTTCGGGGTTTTAACTGGAGTAAGCTGGAAAACGTCAATGAAAGTTACCCTAATTTCTCTTTGTCAGTCCTTTGGAGCAGGTTCTGGGTTGTTTGGGCTTCATCATGATATCTTATCAAATTTAGGTGCTTTTAATTTTGAGTTGTTTTAAGAAAAGTTTACCAATACCAGCTGTCCATGTTCTTTACTGCATGTCTTCCTTCTCTTTAGTTCTAGGACATTGAAAAATAAGGCAACTTGTACTAATTAGGTATTTCAGAAAGAGAAAGAACTTCTCTGCTTTTATATAAGAGATATACCAAAAATATCTAAGAAAATATGGACTGGTTATTTGAATTCACAACTTAAAAGCACAGTTAGAATATATTTAGATCTTTCCCAAAAACCTATCCAAAGGTTCTGAACTCAACTCAGATGTACAGACTATGTTTAGTTTGGCTGATTATTTAAATTAGCTAATTTTTTTGTTTGTTTTATAGCCATTTAAATTTTTTCCATGATTAAATGTTTTCTTTTAGCTGAATTCTCCATATATTTTAAATATTTTGATTCACAATGAAGTGTTTTGGTTTTTTAAAATGTTCATAATTAATATATAACATAAAAGTTGTAATTAAAAAGAAAAAATGTGAATAATATTGTAATATTCAGAAAATGACTAAATTAAAACATGGTTCAGAATAGAAACCAATTATTTTAAAATTATAATGAACCTTATGAAAATATATGTCCCAGTAGATTGTTTCTCTAAATGCTTGTTTCCAGAAATGTTTGTTAACAAATTAACAATTAACAACAAATTGATAATAATATAACTAAAAATACACAATAAATGTTCAGGTAATGATGTGTGCAAGGAAAATTCATTTTCAAACAAAACATTCTCCTATTCAGATTTTAAGATAAAATCTAATTTGGGATTAATTATATGAAAGAATCATATTCAGAAGTTCTGAAATGTTAAAACACATTTCTAGAAATAAAGTATATTTTCTTCATGATATGTATGTTTGGAAATAACCAACAAGATGTTTCCAAACAGATAAAAGTTTCAAAATAGATTCAACTTACTACAGTTAGAGGCAGGAATTTGTCTCCTAGAGATTTACATGCTAAAGGTTCTAAACTGTTCTAAGAAATATCTTCCTTGTATTATCTCATATAGTATTAATTATCCAGCATACTTTCTTCATAGACAAAGAAAATGCAATGTTAAGCATAAAGTATTATAAATGATTAAGCTTAGTGGAATCTAAAATAATGATACTTTTACTGTATTTGGCTATTGGAACTATATTATTAAGCATAGATGGTTAAAACAGAATCAGACATGTAGTGTACATTACATTTTTTTCCATTGGACAAAAAGGACAGGGACCTAATTATATTACTGTTTTTTGTCCATATAGTCTCCCTAGTATTTTCTATAACTACTGCTATGAATAACTGTCAAGCATTCCTTTTAAAAAATGCAATTCCAAAGATTCAACAAAGAAGAAACAAAACACTCTGGGTTGTACAAGTGTAAACATATAACTAGTATTTGAGAGAAAGCAACGATATATATTTCATGTTGATGTTAAAAAGCTAAAGAGAGAGTCACTCCTCTTGCAGGAATCTCAGAATCTCACCTGGGGTTCACAAAGAAGAAATTGGATAAAGTCCTCTTTTCTTTTTTTCATTTTCTAATCCACAACGTAGCGTCAGTTTTCAAGCTTTATACTTATTTTGCTTTCAGCTCAATTCCCTGGCTGACAAGCATTAACCTCAACTGTTCTAAGTGACCTGCTGGGCAGCATTGTTGAAATGAACATAGATTATGTCACCCCTCCAACAACTCCCTTAGTCTTGCCTTCACTGAGATTACTTTTCTGGAGAGTACGCCATTCCTTTCAGTTTTCATACATTTATTTAGCACTGACTCATGTGGTTGCAACTCAGAGATTTGGGGTTGGTGTTTTGGGAATCCAATCTAATGAAGATACCGATTAGATTATGTAATTGCTGTCTCTTAATTGCTCAAAGAGTTCTCTTATGCATCTATTACTTTTCTATTTTTATAAGTCTAAAATTCAACCCCCAATTCCTTGACTCTTAAATTTGCAACAAAAAGATTATTTCTGTATCTTAAGAATTTCATAACTGCGTTATTACTCTGTTCACATTTCAAAGAAATAACAGTGCAGAAATAATTTTGTACTGTTAGCTTTAAAAACTTCCTCAGCTTCCAGGATATCCCATTTATTGTTACTTAAAATTTGTTAACTGGAATCTAAAACCTACTCCTATCACAAACAACTACTGACTTAAAACAGGTAGTAAACAAGTAAATCGACACTCAGCAAATAACTTACATTTGTGGGTGCCGTGGGAAAGCACAAAGCTAACAGAAAATGTAAGAATTTTCGGAGGACTCACAGTCTACTTTTTATAATTCAGATTCCCATGTGACACTGGAATTTTAAAAAGGCAAGAAAAGCTGTTTCTATACTAGTTTCCAATTTTCCAATTTTTATTCTGCCAAGTCTTAACGTCCCTGAGTTCCCTGAGTATTGCTTAAGGTACAAATCTCCTGTACCCGAGAGAAAGAGCTTCATATAGATGGAAACTGTACCATCAACTGGGTTCATATAAGTAGAATTTTCCTGGGAACAATATATATCACTCTAGTAAGAGACTAAATAGGGAATCTCTTTGAAAAACATAAAGCCCTTTATTACAAATATAAGGTGACATTATTATTATTTTTTCCTGTGATTATCCTGTTAAGAGTTCAGTGCAAATAGGAAAGCCAAATTTGGTGGGGGGGCGGGGCGGGGGGGAGTCTTACAAAGAGGAAGTAGGTATTATTGGAATGTGTTCACTTTTCTCTTTTTTTCTTCCATGACTTCATTTTGCCTTTCCCATTTAGAGGCATAAAGAAACAATTTACTTATAAATGCATTTCATACAAACACGTGCACACATACTTATTACACATGTGCATACAGAAGCATCTGACTTTCCAAAAATATTTCAGCATAATTTGGAAAATAAGAAAAAGATTTCTCATTTTGACAAAGGTTAAATAGCAAACGGGTTTGCAACTGGCACCACTTTGCTAAAAGGACTTTAAAATATTTTTTTTCAAATGAAAAATACAAATCTTTGGAAAACACAGATTGACTTCATATGCAAACAAAAAATCTATATGTGAAGAAATAATCAGTTACATAAAATGGGAGTAGAAGTGATGGATTGCTGCTGAAATATTTAGATTATTAGGAAGGTACAGATGTAGCCTATTATTTTAATAAGTACTCCAATGAATATCATGTAAAATATTTTAAATAGTTAGACCCTGACTTTGCAGGGTTTTCTCACCTTTTTATATTCTCCTAATTCCGTGTCTCTCCCTGGTTCCTTAATATGTTCCGAGCGTATAAACAGACTACCATAAAAACAACCTCAGACACATGCCCTGGAATATTGTCGCATTTTAGGGGAACTTAGTTTTAATGGGTTTGTCTTTGAGAAAATGTAATTCCTCCAATAGCTCTTTGGATAGACTTTTCCCCTAAAAAGTTGAGGTGACAGTTAAATGTGCTAGGTAACACTTCGTGGCAGGCTTACGGAGAGAGGAAGTGCCCTAGAGAAACTGGCTGCGGCTCAATCACTCTGGCTGTGTTTAAAAAACCCACCATTGCCCGCCCCGTACCTTCTTCTCGCTTTCCCGTCGCTGTTGGTCTTTCAACTTAATCTGAAGAAGCTGAAATTTCAAGAGTTTCCCTATCAGTGGTAAGGTTAATTTCTCTCCGCTGTCCATAATTGCTTTTGCTGCCGTTAACACCTATGAAGAAACACAATTATTAGGAAAGTGGCATTTTATAACCTTTGGCATGTCTGTCAGTGATGAAAAGATGAAATGGTATTCTGACTTTTGTAATATTTGTCTTCCTGCAAAGGTGCCTCAGTGCTGGCCCAAAAAATTAGGGAAAAATGCCCCAATGCCATAAAGAGAGGCATTTACCCTCTTCTCTAAATATATTGGGTTGTCTGAAAATGAACTTTTTCCAATAAGGGCTTCCCATGATGATGCTAGACTCAGGCTCCCAAAGAGGGGTGGAGGAAAGACAGGCGGGGCTCGGTGTCAGGATGACCGACGGGTCAGTTTCATGCTACAGAAAGTCTATTGTTTGGCACAGCCAATAGCCCGAACTGTCAAACCTTAACTTATTAGGACGCTATAAATTAAGTAGGGTTTTATAATAATGGAAATGGCTATGTTAGCAGTCTTTTATTTCTTGGTGACCAAAGTCAAATGAAAGATAAAAGCTGTTTGACACAGAGGCGCCATGTGAACGTTGCTCCCCTACCCCCACCCCCTTGCAATTTAATGTTGATCCTGTTGGTATGCAGCCTAATTGGGGTGAAATAAGGTTATTGAGTTTTCTTTGGGTGACGACAGCCACTAGGAACATACAGCTGTATTGTCCAGATGTGTGGCACTGACAGCCTGTTTTATAACTGTGCTTTTTACAGCTTGTCTCCCCTAAATTTCACACAACTCTAACATCTGGGCCCTTTTCCTTGGAGCCCTATAACCACTTTATTTACTGCAAAAAAAATAAAATCATGTAAAATATACCATAAAAAGTTGTTGCGTGTTTCTCTTTCTTCATGTTGTCTCCCTAATAAAGTTCACCGTCGGCCGGAAGCACTGTCACAAAAGTAATATAGTCAAAGTGTTTCTCGACTTTTGTTTTTAAGCAAGCATCGGATTTATTTATAACCTCGGGATGAATTAGGTGTTACTAAAATGTTCTGACATGTTGCTTTTCTCCCCCCTCGGAGCAATCACCCCTCAGGGCGCATATGGTGTCAATTTCAGAGCCTCCCGTCTCAGACAACGACCGCGTACACTGCATCTCACCAGGCTGCGTCTTGTCTGAGGTTCATACCAGTCCTTGGTCAGGGCTTTCCTGACCGATCCGCTTCCTTAGGACTTTTCACTTTGCCAAGGGAAATAGCTGAAAGGAAGGGAGATGGCTATTTTGCTTCTAACTGCAGATGGCCCTGTGGATTATCATAAGCCAAAACGTAACTGGACCGCCTGGAGACCACATCGGGGTTTCCTGCCTTGCGTTGCAGGAGGGGAAAGCCAGGGGGAGGATTCCTTTAAAGCTGCTGTTTCCAAAAACCAACGGAACAGACCAAATGTCAGAGAGCTTTGCGTGTGTCTAAGCAAACACCCTCCGTGAAACAGAGCTCTTTGCTTTTTATGGCAGTTCTGCTCCTGCTAACGCGATTTAGGGAAAGGGACATGATGGCTGTGATTTCTGGGAGCTGGAAAACATAAGGGTACACCTGCAGAACCTCACCATTTAATGATGACCAGACTCGAGAGAGCAGGGAATCCTGAGGGGTCGGACAGTTAGTTACACATAAAATGAAAGCAGTCTGATTGGTTCCAATCTCAAGGGTAGGTGTACCCGGTTTGAAATGGTATGTTTCAATACCAGCTAAACAGCGTGCGGACAATCAAGCTTCTTTGTGACATCTGGTTCAAAATAAACAACTCTGAGTTTGTAAGGCTCAGGGCAGTCTAGCATGGGGTGTTTCCCTGTGATGCAAATATAATGACAGCGCTGAAGGGAAGTCAACACTGGCCTGGGTCTCTTTTCCTGATGATCTGTGAAAACAGGATATTTACCTACGTCTGGGGTGGTGTGGGTGAAGCCTGCGTGGCGTCACGGTGATGGATGGGATGTCTCTGGAATTGCTTTTTATCCCCATGCCCCTACGAATGTTACCTCACGGTGTTAAAATGTACTCAAAGCACAACAAAACTTCCCAAGAGAAAGGTATTTTTCAGGCCATAAATGTTATTTCTGGTTCATAAAAAAAAACTGTCTGTAGAGAGCTGGATTTAAAGCAAAAAGCCGGCAGAGCCTGAAAATAAGAATGACACCCTCCTGTGAAGTGGGGAGATGAGGAGCTGCAGGGCACCCGGGTTCTCAAGGACACAGAGCCCGCAAGAGCAGTGGCGGGGCAAATGCCCAGGAGGCGTCCTCCTGCCTGAACAGGCCCAGTTGGAGGCAGACTCAGTGCTGAGGCCCACACTCCAGAGAAGCACACAGCCGTGGCCGTGGCATCATGAGCAAGCAGCAGGCTTGTCCTTTCTGGAAGAGATGGGGCTCCCACACGTGCCACTGTCTTTCTGTGCTTCCCCCAAAGGGAATGATCATGTGACTCCTGGGGATAATTAAAGTAACTGAACGTCTCCTCTGAAAAAAATCTCAGACTGAAAATTTTTATGGTATGTGGGTCATCCCTGGGAGAAAGCAGAAACAGAAAATTATTTATAAATGAATTTCTATGGAAAAGTCTTTCTTCTCACACCCCACAGTTCACACTTCCACCCACTAGGAATTGGATCTCAGATGAAAAACAAATCCTTAGAAATCTTTGTCTGAAGGGTAAGTCTTTGAAGGAAGAAAAAGATATGTGCAGAAGATGTAGATTAAAAGGTGGTGCAGTTTCTCGAGTAACATTTGAGAAAAGCTTCCCTCTCTTGCTTCACTTGTAGTAACTTAAGTAATAATCAAAATTTCAACCTTTCAGAATGTTAAGCATTCCTTGTCTAGTATCTGGGCTTCCCTGGTAGCTCAGATGGTGAAGAATCTGCCTGCAATGCAGGAGACCTGAGTTCAATCCCTGGCTTGGGAAGATTCCCTGGAGCATGGAATGGCAACTCACTCTAGCACTCTTGCCTGCAGAATTCTGTGGACAGACCATGGGGTAGCAAAGAGTCAGACAAAACTGAATGACTAACACTTGTCCAGTATCTAGTCAGAGTGTGTGTGTGTGTGTGTGTGTGTATCTGTGTGTCTCTCTGTATGTATATCTGTGTATGTGTGTGTGTGTATTTCCGTACGTCTCTCTGTGTGCGTGTGTGTGTTGGGGAGGTCAGATGCCAAGGGCTGTAGGTCTTGGGAGGATTGAGGGATACAAGGGAAAAATAGCACAGTGAGCTGATCAGAGCTGTGGTGTAATTAGACAAAATCCCGCTTCCAGAACTAGGCAGAAAAAGTCCTAAGTGGGTTAAAACCTGGGTACTCATCAAGCCAAAATACCAAAAAAAATGAGCCTGACATGAGTCAGAAACTTGAAAAATGAGTCTTACGGGCAAGTGAGACTTGTTAAATAGAGAAAAACTGCTGCCAGACAAGGCCTGTATGTGTCTCCTAGACCTACTCAGGCCAGACCACCGGGCCTCCCAGGCCTCGGGAGACGCCCAGGTCGAGGTGCTCGAGGTGCTCAGCTCTGGAAGAGGCCAGTGGAGGAAATCTAGCTCCAAACAGTGCAGCTGAGGCAGGGAGACACATCTGTGTTTCACTGTGTGAAGGTCTGATTTTGAGGGTAGATGCCCTTTGTCTTCTAGGAGGTTTGTGATTCTGAGCACACTATGAAATAAAAGCATTTCACTCTATATCACTGGCCTGCCTCAAAGATTTATGTCCTATTTACTGTCTAATGATCTGATCCAACAAAAACACACCAAATGAGCCAAATTCTTTGCTTGCCTGGGGATCAGGCCCACCCACAGCCACCAGTGCCCTCCTCTCCGCTCTTCATCCCACTCTGAGGATCCTCCCCACGTTAGTAGTAAGCACGGCATCAGTCAGGACAGCACTTACAACTGCTCCACAGGTTCCCAGGAGAACCAAATGTATGCACGTGTGCAAATGTATGTGTACAGATATACATATAAACACACATACATATGTATATATGTATGTGTGTATATATGATAGATAGCTTCCCTTGTAGCTCAGTCGGTAAAGAATCTGCCTGCAGTGCAGGAGACCCGGGTTTGATCCCTGGGTTGGGAAGATCCCCTGCAGAAGGAAATGGCAACCTACTTTAGTATCCTTGCCTGGAAAATCTCATGGGCAGAGGAGCCTGGTGGGCTGCAGTCCATGGGGTCTCAAAGAGTCGGGCATGACTGAGCGACTTACACTTGACACATATATGATAGATAGACAGATGATAGGTAGATAGAGAGGACTTCTATGGGGTCTGCAGATCTGCCGCCTGGCTTCCCTGGTGTGCTTACCAGGAGGCATATGGAACAGCTTGCATTGTTGCTTAACTTGCTGCATGCTCAATCCAGGTGAGTTCTAAGGAAGGGTAACACTTCGGATCTGCATTTCTCTTGCCTGGAGCAAGCCACCGGAAGGAGGTGTTGGGGAAAAGGGAAAGGTGCTTATGTTGGCAGAGAAGGGAGGGGTGATGGGAGAGGCATAAGGTGAGAGAAGACTTTCCCTCCAAGTGTTCCAAATAGTCACCCTTTTCCTAAAAATCTCTTGGTTTCAGGGTCTTCCTTGAGTGTCCATTTGTTAGAGTAGCTGTAAAAATGCATAAGACATGATTTCACATTTAACCCATTATTCCTGCATCGGTGACTTAGGGTTGGTTTGGAGATGTAAAGACGTCAGCAAATAGGAACAGAATCCATAAACCTGACTCAGTCCAGACTAGACCAGGGCTGAGCAAATAGGTCATTAACATGCTAATTTTATTTGTTCATTTGTTTTTTCATTCATTCATTCACTTGGTGTCACATTCTCTTGTTTCTCTCATTTCTTTAATACATGACTAAGTATAACACTTCCTTGTCATGGTACAAAGTCCAAACAGTACCAGAAGGACATACAGTGAAAAAAAAATGCTTCCCCAATCTCCTCCATTCCATTGACCAATTCTTGTCTTAAAATAATATTCTATGCAAATATAGACATATATCTTTTTATATTTTAATACAAATAGTATCACACTTTAATATTG